TACTATATCCCAGTGTTCGGAATTTAGAATATAGTTTTATTCAGTGTTAATTGTGAATAATACTTTTTCAGCAATGTTTGGTAAACATTATTGCTTCCACAGTTTTTAGACTTCGAAAAATATCTTTTCCCTAATACTCATTTGATTTGATTTGATTCAAGAACCGACATCACAGCACTCGGGGCATTCCCATAAGCTCTCCGTCCCCATCTTCGGCAGCCAGCGAAGAGTTCCGATACTAATTGTGCCAGTAGCATTCTGATTAAACGTCTGTCTCGCTTTCCTCTGAGCCTCGAGCATTTGCCAGAACCTCTCGTCACTGCCCCTGCAGCAGTCTCACCAGACTGGTGATCCATCTGCTCTTCCGAACTGTACACGCTCTCCCACAAGACACTAACCACCTCTGCCTTATCATTCATCAGTATTTCACCAAGCTGTGCAGAGCCATCCAGTCTGTCCGCCTGTTCATTTCCCAACACACCGGCATACCTTGGTGAAAAAATCCAGACAATACACCTCACGCGTGTCCTCCGCAGCGAGTCATGTCACTGCACGAAGAATGCCTGTCCTGATCTTCCTCGGCACGCTTTCTGAGTCAGTTACAATCACAATGTGTGTGTATGTGTGTGTGTGTGTCGGGTTCTCTAGCCAGCGGAAATCTGCAGTGACCGCCTCTACCTCCATTCTCAAGCTGGAGGTTGTGGTATCATATGCTAGGCTCTCCTGCACCAAACGTCGGCAATTACCTTTTGCTAAGAAACCCCAAGCACTTTTTTTGCCTCTTGACACTGAACCTTCTGTGTAAATGATCACAACTTCTGAGCGAGCATTAATCTTGAATTAATTGCTGAGTTTCCACCTCTTTTAGCTTTAAGCAGTAACTATTCTGAAATTGTTAAAGTAATTCTTTCCCTGTGTTTAGATTTCTATACTACAAGACCATTTGAATAGGCCTAGTTAAAATCGCGAAAGATATAAGGTGAAAGTATTAAATACCACAACAATTGAAGTAACGCAGGTCAGGATAATTCCTTGTCAGCCACATAGAGGGTTGAATGATACTTGTAGACAGCAAACAGAAGAATGTTAATATCTAGGACAGGGGTTCTCAAACTGGGTGGCGCGATCCTATGTCAGGGTTTGCTGCGGTAATAATCGAGACTTTTTACCAAATCTGCTTGAGATCAGCGAAGAGTTCTGGATGCAGGTGTATTAAGGAAATAATACTATCGGCATGGCTGCAGTGCATTCTCAACGTAAGCTTACATTAAAAAACAGATACAGGGGCAACCTTCAAGTGATTTGAGAGTAGAATTAACTAAACTGTCCATAAACATTAAAAAAAAAATTTCCAAACAGTTTTATTCATCGCATTAAAGACAACTTAACATTAAATTTGCGCTTGTTTCCCCCTCCCCCCCCCTCCCCCCCCCCCCATCCTTCTTTTTCTATGTATACAAACCCCTTTAAGGGTCGATGTGCCGCGAAAAAATTCTGCCCGGTAAGGGTGCTGCGGCGAAAAATATTTGAGAACCGCTGATCTAGGAAGTATATACTCGGAGGACAGAAGAAGAGACTGAGAAATAGAAACATATATACTCGGAGGACAGAAGAATAGACTGAGAAATAGAAACATATATACTCGGAGGACAGAAGAATAGACTGAGAAATAGAAACATATATACTCGGAGGACAGAAGAATAGACTGAGAAATAGAAACAATCAACGAACCAGAGCACTTATATTTACTACTACCAACTGACACTGTTCTTTTAAGACATCCAAACATATGTGTGACCGCCAAGAAACAGATTATAAACAGCGTATTAGTACCAGCACTGCCATTGTTAAACATGGTCATCATCAAAGGTTAACATGTTTGAAACTAACAACTGTGAAATGAGATTCCTGAGCAAAGCAGCCAACTTAACTATCCAAGACGAAGTGAGAAATGGATACTATCAGACAGACTGTACGAACAACCACCATACAGCAAATTATTTGAGAAACAGAATATCAAATGGTTTGGTCATGTCATTAGAATGCAGCGACAACAACTACCAACACAGGCACAACACAATGATTTGATGTGAAAGCTAGAGGTCGCACTAGGAGAGGGTGGGTGGTCTAGAGGCAAGGCGTCGGCCTCGAGTGATGGAGGTCCCGGTTTCAGGCCCAGGTGAAAGCTGTGATTTTTTTTCACATGGACTTCTAGTAATTTCCCCCTGGTAATTTCCCCTGGTTTCTAAGTAGTAAGACTGGGCACCCGTGTGTATTGTTGCACACGTAAAACAAAATCCTTTGTGGGTTAATAATCTAAAAGAGTAGCCTAACAGCGCTGCCTGGTGAAAATTTGAAGTTTAAAACCTACCTGAAGTATTTAAGGATCCTCGCCGGTGCTACGGAGTTCGTGCGCTGAGTTCATTCGGACCCAGGCTTGAGTTAAAGTTAGAACGGAGCACTTATGAGTTACTACCCTTTGTCCAAGGATGTAAATCCGTTGCATGAACCAATCGATCGAGGAACATAAAAGACTTACATGAACACGGAATAACAATAACTATTGCTACCCATCAAGCAAATTGTTATTCCCTCACGTCGCTTACCAGCCAAAATAGAAATTGATGATGTTGATAAGGATAATGATGTTCGGGCTTCAGAAGGCAACTTTTTTTTATTACTGCCCAGATTATTTTTATGACATGCTTTTTAAGGGATCAGTGGGTCTTTCTCACCCTTGTTCTTAGTTCTGAGCTGCTGACTCTCTCTCTCTCTCTCTCTCTCTCTCTCTCTCTCTCTCTCTCTCTCTCTCTCTCTCTCTCTCTCTCTCTCTCTCTCTCTCTCTCTCTCTCTCTCTCTCTCTCTCTCTCTCTCTCTCTCTCTCTCTCTCTCTCTCTCGTTTCTATTTAAACTAAACGATAAAGGCCTGGTGGGTTGCATGTACCAAAGGAGTTTAAAAAAAAATATTAAATGCTCTGCTGTTACTCTCAATAAGTAACACAGCGTGATTAACACGCTTACTATCTGTGCATTCTTCTGAATGTTGCAGAGATTAAGTGTTGTTCACTGGTTTTTTTTATATGGGTCATTCAAGGTCTTTTTCTGTGATTTTCACAGGTACATAAACGGGGAAAGTACGAGGTGACCTGTTTGCAGTAAAGTCAGGTCTCGGCTTCTATTAATTACTACGTGTGTGTGTGCACACGCGCGCACGTATGTGTATGAGAGTGCGTATGTGTATGTATATATAAAGGTTAGTTAGTGTGTGTGCACGTGTGTCTATATATATGTGTGTGTGTGTGCGCGCGCGCGTGCGCGTGTGTGCGCTCACGAGTGCGTGCATATGTGTATCAGCGAGTGCGTATATATATATATATATATATGTGTGTGTGTGTGTGTGTGTGTGTGTGTGTTTGTGTGTGTATCTGTATATATATATATATATATATATATATATATATATATATATATATATACATGTGTGTGTGTGTGTACGTGCGTATGTGTGCGCGCTCGCGTGCGTGCGTTTGTGTGTGCCTGTGTATAGTATGCGTGTGTTTGTATATATATTATATGCGTGTGTGTGCGTGTGAGTATGTGCGTGTCAGTGTGCGTGTCTGTGAATTTGTGTTATGTTATGTGTGATGTGTGTGTGTGGTTGTGAAATTTCTACCACGTGTGCGTCAAACGTTGACTCGTTAAAATTCCTGTTGTGATAACCATACACATTGCAGTGCACAGACATGTACACACATAACGCAAACAAAACAAAACCCACGCAGGCACATTTCTTTGTTTATCCAACTTGTGTCACTTCATGTTTACTTCTGCTTGGTCACCGGCCGGCATAACTCTATCACAAAGAGCTGAAGTTATCTAGGGTCAGAGATAGTAGCAGAGGGGGGAAGTGGAGGAGATAGCATGCAGAATAATTCAAGCTAATGAGGCATTTTATGAGATGGAAAGCATTCCGTGGAATTCACTCTTCTCTGTGAAAGTCATAAAACTAAGAAAAACTAGTTTTAGAATATACTAGATTGAATTGCCCGGCTTCGCCCGGGATAGTGGAAAAAATATTCTCCCGTCCTCTACCTCACCGCTGTCTCCACCTTTAATACAATTCCCTTGTGTTGTGGCGACTCCAAAACGATTATTTTCCTTTATAACATCAATGAATATGTGTTTTCCTATGGTCTTAGGCTACCCATGTGAAAGGGTCTTTCGACCGCAAAAAAAGGGTCGCGGCCCGCAAGTTGAGAACCGCTGCTCTAAACCGTTACGACAGCTCTGACGTGGAATTCTAAACATGTAAACTACCCTTTTAACGAATTTGTCGCATGGGGCTTATAGGGCTAAACCTTCACTTTCCACGACATTCCCAGATGTCCATTTAATTATGGATCGACCTGGGAGCCAGGTACACTTTTCTTAAAGTAGTCTGATAGTGTTATTATTTGTTATATAACGGCCACTTCTTACAGTGTTATTATGTGTTGTAGAACGTAATCTTCTCATGGTGATAATATCTGTGTCAGATTACATTTTCACGCATTTTTTATTTGCTATATAACTTCCCTTTCTGATAGTCTTTGTATTTTTATATAACGGCCACTTCTTATAGTGTTATTATATGTTGTATAAAATGATCTTCTCATAGTGATAATATTTGTCTTATATTACATTTTTCCATAGTTAATTGTTTGTTATATAACGTTCTTTCCTGATAGTGTTAAAATTTGTTATATAACAACCTCTTATGATAGACATATTTTTGTCATAAAAATCCTTTCTTTTAGTGTTAAAATTTGCTTTTTAAAGCCTTATTCTCTCTGTATTAATATTCATCGCGATCGGGTCCCTCATTGGCTGGCCGGTAGACCACTTCATCGCCGGTCGGGCCAGTATTTGGGTCTGTCTCCTCTGATCGCATCAATACTGCTAACGGTTTTTTTTTTTCAGGGCTACTTGGTAGCGAGCAGCGCTAAGACATCTTATGTGAC